AAAGAGACTGGCCAGATGGACACAGAAGTCATCCAATTTGCCAGCCACCCACCGCTTTCAACATCTACCAGCAGAGGGTACTGCAAGGAAGAAGTGGGGCAGCAGGCGGGCTACACCAGCTCTGTGAACCCAACCTGAGCCTTAACTGGGACAAGGAAGCCAGCCTCAGATAGCTGCTGGGCCAGCCTGACTCCCGATGATTCGGCCTGTGATCAGGCTATGAGGCCTAACCTTATGATTTGTTTTGCTTTGGTTTTTTGAGACAGTCTTGCTGTGCTGCCCAGGCTGGCCTCAAACTCAAGATCCTCCTGGCCTTAGCTTCCCCAGTCCTGGGATTACAGGTGCAGGCACCACACCTGATGCCTACCCTTACAGCATTTAAGGCATTTACTTTGCACCTGAGGATTAGAAAATTGCAATAGCAGCAGCAACTCTTTATGAAGACCAGAAACAGCAGAAAGGTCAGACAGAATGTGAAGCTGGTAAAAGTTAACAACCACCCTTGCCCATCTGTAAATAAAGTCTTCTGGACAGACGGACAGGGTCCTTGCACACTCCAACAAAAACATTTCTGCACTAAGAAAAGCATGGGATAAACCTGGTCACTGAATAAACAAAATCTTAACCGACTCTGCCAAATTACTCAGGGGTGTGGGATTCTTGAGGCAGGACAGTCTGCGCCCTCAGACTTTGGAGAGGGTCAACAGACTAAGGTGGTATCACTGGTTGGTAGTGGGATGAGGCCCTAGATCCCTGGTTTCCCAGTTCTCAGGAGCCCTACCATGGCTGTAGCACTGACTCAGATTCGAAGTGCAAAAGATACTTGACACCCAGGTTTGGTGTTCACAAGTGTAATCCCAGGTACTTGGGAGGCTGAGCTAGGAGGGTCAAGAGTTCAAGGCCAACCTGGGTGAGAACCTGCCTCAAAATGAAAAATAAAAAGGGCTGAAGATGGTGGAGTACTAGCCTAGCATATACCAAAGCCTGAGTTCCACTCCCACTACAGGGAAAAAAAAAAGATAATTGACAATACAGTCAGTATTAGCTCAAGACAAAAGGGCCATTTCAGCATCCAGAATACCACACTGGGCTAGCAAAAAAATGCTGTAAGATGGCTTCTACTTTCAAGCCCAATCAGCAGCTCTTTGCAATTAAATAAGCTGACCAGAACCGTAAGAGGTGAAAGATAAACCAACTTTCTTCAAAAATACAGATATTGGGGCCTGGGATTTAATTACTGGTTCCACTGCAAGGACCCGAGTTCGATCCCCAGAACCAAAAAAAAAAAAAGAAAATATATGTGTGTATATATATATATGTATATACACACACACACACACACACAGACGTTATCCTTACTTCTATTTACTCAGGAGATTGTAAAAACATTCTATTTAGACTTGCTCCATAGTCGGGAAAGTATTGTGAGTGTTGCCCTTGTATCTGTTTGGCCACAATGACTCCAAGACATATGCACTATGCTCAGGGCCCACTGAACACTGCTGGGGAGGGACTAGGCCTGGACACTCTTATCTGGCTCCAAACCCACAGTCTTCCTCCACATCCTGTTGCCACCTCTTTCAAAAGGATGTCACCACTTCCCTGACAAACAAGGAGCTGAGTCACCAATTCAATCAGATGCAACATGGCAAAAAAATTTAAAAACCAGAAAGATCCTTTATGCAGAGCAATCTGATCAGGAAAAGTAAAAGTAAACTATGCTCCCAGCAAATATCCTGTGTTCTGCTACAAAACAAATAAATATTCCTCATAATAGAGAACAACTAAATCTACCACCAACCAAGAGGCCCCCATCTTGATTTTTGTCACCAACCGATCAACAATGATCCCACTGGGTAATGTGCCAATAATCTAAAAACTGCCCTCCTCACATTATTACTAAGGCAACACAAAAAACTCAGCACAATGTCATCAAGTCTGCATCTGCATCAATACCAAAAGCAAACAGTTCTGCAAGGATGATCTAGGCCAAGAAATTTGGAAAGCCAAATCCATGGAGACTGGCTCCCCCTTGATCTGTTTTACCTCTTTCATCAAAGTGAACTTGAAGTGCCACCAGAACTGGCAGCTTCTCCATACTAGGTTCTAATTATGAAACTGGCCTCAAACCGTTTATCCCAACAGGATTCCCTCCACCAACGAGAAGGCTGCTCCTAGGGTTCTGGGATTGGCCTAATAAACACCAATTGCCAGAAAGCTACAGAATGTCTCCTTTCTTCTCCTGCTGTATTAGTAGCCCTGCTGCCTGTCCAGCTACAGATTAAACACCTTGCTCAACTTGGCTATTTCACTATGTGCTCTACCATTCAATCTCCCCACATCGGGGCAGAACCAGCTGCTCCAGCCCTGGAAGATACTGTCCTCAGGGACCACAATTAGGTTCTCTGGAACATGGTTTGACTTAAAGTGATCCACAGAGACTTGGAAACGGTTTCATTAGTGATTTTCGCCAGAGGTATTTACTGTAACTAGATCTGGCCTCTATAAAGAGATGTTTCTAAGGACTGAGCCACAAAAATAAAATGCAAGTGAACCGCGAAAGGCAACGTTGAGACAGCCATTTCTTTTCATTGGAAAAATAATATATCTAAGAGCAAAGAGCAGAGGTGGATAAATTATTAAAAGATGAATCACAGACCGGGCCCAAATGAGACTGCTCTACATTTGACTGCATGGAAATATAGAAATGTAGTAGCCAAATGTTCATCTCAACCCGTCAAAAGCAGTAAACAGCTAAGAAGGCCTTCATTTTCACAGGTGCAAAATACTTTTCCCATGGGATCAGCCTTCCTGGATAAGACAAAACCAAAGGACTGGTTTTCTAAAACAGCTAAGTCTACCTAAAATTCTGGCTTGTCAAGAATCAAAAATTAAACCTTCAGAGCAAACTGAAACCCTGACTCTCAGGATCAGGAAGATAGGATAGACTGGGACTAGGAAGCCCTTTTGGGAAATCTCTTATTTTTCCTCTAGAAGAGCAAATTTGAGACAAATAAAAAAGGGATTTTAACTAAAATATCCATATTTTCATGGTCACAACATGTCTTTTTTCTAATGGGAGATCTCGATTTGCTTTCAAAACCTCTCCCAGAAAGAACAAAAATTTGAAAGGTTTTAAGTGTTTCAGATTTGCTGTTAAATCAGGCATTGAGTGATACCCTTTTCTTTTTCTTTTGCAACATCCATTAATTTCATTTTTAACTAATACTGGTACATCAGTTTGGGGGAGAAAAAAAGGTAGTACTGTGACATTTCAAAAACAAAGTTTACCAAAATGCAGTCTGACTGAATTACTGGGGCTTCTTAGACTTGATGGATGAGATTTCCTCAAGGAAAAAATAAACCCTTGTGTTGATGTGCCTGAAAGCATCTAAATGTTTGGAGAAATAGTTTCAGATTCAGCTCACTGTTAAAATTTTCACTTACAAACAATACTGTTTCCTTAACATTGCATTTTAAAAAGTAAACGTAACCATTCTTCCACAATTCAGTAATCCTATAAACTTGGGAGAGTCATCAGTTAATATCCAGTTTTTGCTCTTAGCTCCTAGAAGAGGAATTTTATCTAGGATGGGAAATTTCAAATAAGTGCAACTCCTTTTCAGCCTGGACAGTGTGTTCAGTTTGTGCTTTGGACATTTTCCGCAGGATCCTATCCATTCTGGGGATTTTTTCCTCCCATAACTGACTATACACTAAAGACCACTGCACCACAGTTAAGTTGTGAACATATAAGAACAAAATACAGGGCCTAATGAATTGTAGTTCATGTCTCATCTCAACACGAGTGAACACATTTCTCCTAATAGAAAAAAAGAAACTGTCTTTTGGAGAGGGCTAGGGCAGTGTGTTAAAAAGATTTCTCTAACAAAGTATGTCAGGGACCAAAGTGGGCCAGAAGGAAAATGGAACTTCAACGTGTTTTGTCTTTTAACCTAAAAACTTATGCTTGTAAAACACATCAGAAGTAATGTTTGGTTCCGCAAGTCATTTCTGTTCTTTTCCTTTGTACGTGTAGGATAGGGGACTGGAAGTGTTCTCTCCAACATGACTGGGCGTGTAACACATTTTGCATCAACTTTCACGGTCAGGCATGTGCTTTCCAACAAAGAGCAGTGGAGACAGGAAGAGATTGGGGCTTGACACAGTTTACACATTTTGTGCTTCAACAGTACTTTACAAATGACTTGCTCAATTTAAACGTCCATCACCATTAGAGACATTGGAATAAAATGAGGAAAATGGATCTACTTGAACCACAATCTTTTCGGCAGGGAGGAGGGGAGAACTTTAACTTGAATGCAACTATCACATACCAAATTCAGTAAACTTGTCTCCTATAGGTGGACTTGAAGTATCCACTTTCCTCAAAGATGAAGGCTGGATAAAGTAATGGATTGATACGGACAGAGGGTTGCCAAGAGTCTGAAAACATGGGCCTATTACATAGATTTTTGTCATGTTACAGTAATACTTTTTTTCTTTGAGAAAACTGTGTACGTCAAATTTTTTAAATTTAACATTGAAAGGATGTGCAAGTCTAAAAGGGCTCAACAGGGTTAGAAACCTGATTTGAACATATAAATTCATTCTCTCAAGCATCACTTTGGTCTTAAGGCGAGGAGGAAGGCAGGCAGGAAAAGGGACAAAAAGAGGAAGATAATTGAATTACTCAATAAAAGAGGCTACTTACCATCCCAACCCATTGTAAGACATACACTTCTGACATAAGAGAACTCCTTAGAGGTCGAATAAAGCGTGTAAGCACCTTTGAGTAATGCACCTGCCCCCAGAGAGGGGCCCCCGGAAGGCCAACGTGGGCTTAGCGAACAGACCTTTGCTAATCTGTTTTATTTCCTTGAACTGGAGTCGGGCTGCGAAGGGCTGCGAGTCCCAGGATGATACATTTAATTAAAACAAAACAGAAAAAAAAAAAAAGAAAAACAAAGAAAAACAAAAAAATTTTTGTAAACGCTCACCAAACTGCTGCACTTGTGTCTCTGAATGTGGGTGGCATTTCTTTTAAAAGGCAAAGTATGGTCTGTGAAGGAGAAAGGGAAAAAGCGGAGGTGGGAGAGAAGGGGCCAAGGAACCTAAGGTGGAAGCCCTGGCTGAGACCCCCCGACTGGGCTGCGCCCGATCAGCCATCTGTCCAGCGCGTTCTCTTCCTTCCCCACCCCCACTCCCTCAAAGACTCGCTCTCCTGACGGCTGCACCCCACCTTTCTTTCTCAAATCCTCTCTCCAGCCTCTTCCCCTACCCTACCAGGAATGGGTGAGCGAACCCTGCACCCCAACGCTGTCGGCTCTAGCAAGGCAAACAGGTCTCCGAGCTCACCCTGAAAGGCGCGGGGCTGGCCCCATTATCACACGCCACAGAAGGGCGTGGGGGACCCATTTTTGCACTTAAAGGGGCAAGAGGCACCCTTTTCCACCCCCTGCCAAAGCACAAGGAAACCTTTTCTCTCCGGTAAAGGATAGTGCCCCCTTTTACCTCGAGGGAGGGGCGACCCCCAGGAGAAAGCTAGAGGCAACTTCCTCTCCCCTCCAAGCTAAGAAAACCAAACACCCCCTAAAAAAGTACGGCTGAGGACCCTCCCCCAGGTCACCTACCTACGAAAAAGAGGGGCCCCACCCTCTAAGAACAAGCGTGGGGAAAGGGCTTTTCCCAAAAAAGAGGGGGTTTCATCAAAAGGGCTAGATGCACCCCAGTTGTTTTCTGGGGTGTAGGTAGAAAACACCGCCCGCCAAAAAAAGGGCAAAGGAGCCGCCATCAAAGGTCCCCCATTAGAAAGACTGACTGGGCAAATCCCCATTTTCTGCCTCCTAAGAAAGCTCGGATCCCTATCCAAGAAGGGCAGGGCGCACCTCCCCCAGGAGAAAGGATACTGCCGGGGGCTGGAAGACCCCAACTCCATGCCCCTAAGAGCGGGGCTGTGGCTCGAGATCCCCCCCAAAAAAGGGTCCGGGAGCCCC